AAAAAAAAAAAAAAAAAAAAAGAATCTTAAGGCCAGGCACCGTGGCTGAAGCCTGTAATCCTAGCACTTTGGGAGGCCAAGGTGAAAGGATTGCCTGAGACCAGGGATTCGAGACCAGCCTGGACAACTTGGTGAGACCTCATCTCTACAATAAATCAAAAAATTAACCAGGCGTGGTAGTGCTCATCTGTAGTTCCAGCTACTTGGAAGGCTGAGGTGGAAGGATCACCTGAGCCCATCAGATCGAGGCCTGGTGGCTGTTAGCATGCCAGTGCACTCTAGCCTGGGCAACAAAGTGAGACTCTGACTTAAAAAAAAAAAAGAATCTTAGGAAACAAGTAGGAAGGAGAAGAGAGAAAAAGAGAATGATGCTTTAAACGCATTCTGTCGGCTGGACATGGTGTCTCATGCCTGTAATCTCAGCATTTTGAGAGACCAAGGTGAGAGGATTGCCTGAGTCCAGGGATTCGAGATCAGCCTGGGTAACTTGGTGAGACTTCAACTCTACAATAAATCAAAAAAATTAGCCGGGCATAGTGGTGCACACCTGTAGTTCCAGCTACTTGAAAGGTTGAGGTTGAAGGATTACCTGAGCCCAGAAATGTCGAGGCTGCAGTGGCGGTGAGCATGCCTGGATGACAGAGCAAGACTCCACCCTCCCCCACAAAAAACCAAAAATGCATTCTATCTATAGCATTTAAAGTTAACTGGTAATGTGCTTTGAAATAATGCAGCAACCCAGTAACTTTAATTGATTTTGGGGGAAAAAAATCTCCAAGAGCACTTTAAATTCTTATAAAGGGATAGTATAAAACTTTGATTTTAATTTTTAAAGAATTCACTGGGTTTTAAGCAAGAGGATAAGAGTAACTTGGTCTGTGTAGTTTTACACAGTGTGCGGATTAAATTCTGATGAACTTATACCCCCAAAAATGTCTGTATCAAAATTGCTAGTGCAGACTAAGCTGTTAGAGTTGTAGTTTGGCAAGCAGCTTCTGCGTGTATGTAGCAGAAAGTACCTTGAACTTGGTAAGAAGTTCCAAGTTCAGGCTCTATTCTCACCACTGACCAGCCAAATGATGGAGGACAAGTCAAATAACATTTGTGTCTCTTTTTCTTATCTGAAAAATGATAATAATGTATACATGCCACCTCACAAGGAAGTTTGAAGTCCACATGGAATAAAGAATATGAAGCTATCCTGTAAAAAAAAAAAAAGCTTCTTATAATCCAAGGCATAATTGCTACTGTA